GCTGCGTGTCCGCTATGCCGAGGAGCAGCTGGTCCCGGTGCTCAGCCCCCACAACGCGGGGCTGGACCAGCCCGGTCTCTACACGGTCAGAGCCAGCGTGGACAGCGGGGTCTTCAGCGCCAACCTGTCCTGCAGCTTCCGGGTGGCCTCACGGGTGTCGGGCCTGCGTGTCATCCACCCCCCTCCCCAGGGCAGCAGGGTCTACCTGCCCACCAACCACACCACCCTGGTGCTCAAACTGTCCTCGGGGGTGAACGCCACGGCCACCTGGCTGGGGGACAACCACAGCGTGCCCTTCACGGGGGCCTGCCCGGCGGCCGTGGCACCGCTCACGGCGCAGTGTGCCAGGGACAACAACGACACCTGGTTCGCTGTGGTGCAGCTGAGCGGCCTCAGGGAGGGGCTCAGCACCCACGTGCTGGTGGCAGAGAACGCCGTGAGCTCCCAGAACATCACGGTCACCGTGAAGGTGGAGGAGCCGATCCGCGGGCTGAGGGCCACCCCCGACCCCGAGAGCAGGGTCCTGCTGAACACACGGGTGGTGAGTGGTGGCTGCCGCCCTTAATTTACCAGCTGGGTTTTTAGCCTTCCCCTTTAGCCCGTAGGTGTGTGTTTGGCTCTGGGGAGGCTGGGCTGGGGGGAGCACTGCTTGCTGCTAAGCTCCCAGGCCGTGCTGCCCGCGCTGCTGCAGACACAGGCATGTGGCACAAGCACTGGTGCTCTCCAGCAGGAAGGCAGCTTGGCTGTACGTTCCCTTGAATCCCCTCAGAGGTAAGGCAGTACCTCCTGCGAGGGGGATACTGGCTTTCCACTTCCACAGAAACCAGAGGCGTTATGAGAGGCCAGTATTTGCCTTCTTTTGACTTGTCAAGACGTTCAGATTTGCTCTGCTAAATCCTTACATCAGCTGACTGAAGCTGTAAAAAAGCTTCATCCGTCCAAGTCTTGGGGTTCCTCTGGCGTTTCCAGTCTTTTTGTTTTCCAAGCCCCTGTCCCCAGAGCTGCAGCCCTGGGAACCTGTTCAGCAACTGCCCCAAATGCTCTGTTCAAGCTCTGGCTGCTTCCAGCAGATCCTGCACCTCCACCTCTTGGTCTCACCCTTCCTGGCTGCCACAGTCTGCTCAGGAGGCACTATTGGAGTGAGGACAGGGCAGGTCAAGCCCTTCAGCCTTTGGGTCAGGCACCGTCCATGGGCGAGGGTCAGAGGCTCAGCTTACAGGTGTAGCTAAAGCCGAGTTGTTTATTTGCAGATATCAGAAGGTTTTTTAGACCTGATCCCAAGAGCAGAGTGCTGGGCTGTGGGAGCAGGGAGTGTGGGGTGTGCTCCCTGCTCTGCTGGTCAGGGTCTGCATTTCTCCATCAGCAGCAGAGCCCCAGACGATGTGTCAGCTCTGTGTCATGCTCTGAGGGCACTGTCTGCAGGTGTGAGGTGCCTCCCAGTCTGACCCTGCTCCCTCTCCAGTTCAGCTGGAGATCTCCTGGGAAGTGCTGGGCATGCTTTTCTCTTGCACTAGTATGAAATGTTCTCATGCCTTTCAGAGCTACATCCCTGTGATGGAGGCTGGGTCAGATGTGACTTTCCGATGGACAGTAGATGATAAGCCATCTTTCACTTTTTACAATGTTGTCTTCAACGTTATCTACCAAAGCCCAGCCGTGTACAAGCTTTCGGTAAGCCAAGGCCTTTCCCATGATACCATTTCAACCCTGGGTTTCCATCTCATCCCACAAACTCAGCAGGAAGAGCAGCAGGGAGAGGAGAAGGCAGAATTGAGCTGAGGTTTTCACTGTGCTCCCAACAAGCTCATCTGCTATTTCTCATTGAGCTGCTCTTGCAAATGCAAATAGTTTCTTCTGTTTTTCCATTACTTCACTTTATTCCTCATCTTTGCTTTCTCCTCTTTTCTCCTTGTTCTCCTTTCTGCTCACAGAGTGTCTGTGCTTCCTCCTCCCCAGCAGGAATGAGGCAGGAGATATGGATTCAGAACCAGGCAGAGGCAAGATGCAAACATAAGACTTCTGTAGGCAGGACAGACCTCCCACAAGCTCTTCTGTTCTCTGTCCTGTTCTCTTCCTCCTGATGCAGACTGGAACTGGGTTTTGTCATGGCCCCAGAAGGATGGAGCAGAGAGTCTGGGCCAAGGGAGGTGTGTATTGTGGAACAGGAGTTTATCTCTGGCCAGAACATCTCTCTGTGTCGTGCCCTGTACTGCCAGGTGGAGTCTGCTCTCATCCAAGGTGCTTGATCCTCTTGCAGGGTGACTTGGCTTCCTGAGGAGATGCCAGGCCCAGCTCCAAGGCCACGCTAGCACTAATTTGCTTGGTGCAGCACTAATTTGCTGGGTGAAGCGCTGTGCTGACAAGCCTGGGGCGCTTTCACTTACAGAGCTGACAAGGTGCCATTAGCCTGGGGGGCACTGGGTTCAGCATAGCAGTCACAGAAGCCTAGACATGAACTTCTCTTACACGTTGGGGTGAGATATCTCTACTCAGCTGGGTTTGCAGGGTCCCTCTGTCAGCAGCTCCTGCAGGTGAGGAGGTGGCAAGATGCTCTGTCACCAGGTGCCCTGTCAGTGTTTCATGCCTAAATAATCTTGAGCATCCTGCTCTATTTCTGTTGTGTCTCTTGCCTCTCTTTCCTCCTTGGTCCAGCCTTGGTCTCTCTCTCTGTGCCCACCACACCAGGATCCTGGAGGTGCACTTCATGTGCTTGATTTTATGAGACTCTCCCATCCCTACTCTCTGTGCTTGAAGCCACTCATCTGCCCCTGTCCCAAGGTGTCTGTTGTCCCCTTGGTGGCCTATGCTCAGCAGCTGGAGACTGTGCAGGGCATGTTGGAGCCAGCACAGGGGTAACTGGCAAGTTCAGAGCCAGAGGAGCCTCTGGATGAGAAGCTCCTCTCTTTCCCTCTTGCTGTAGCACCAGTCCTTCCTTGGGCTGACTGTACTGGTGGTTCCAGCAAGAGGTGGCTTTTCCAGGTGGGTGACCTGCCAGCCTAGGCTGCTTTCCAGTGCCATCCAGGCTCTTGCCCTGCCTCCCTGCCCCAGGGGCCACTCTTCTCTGCGCTGGCCTGCTCGCCTGCCTGGTGGGACATCCTGAGTGCAGTGAAGCCTCACGCTCAGAGGGCAGCACGATGAGGTGATCCCCAGCACAGTCTCTGTCCCCCTGTCCTTCCCAGCTCACCGCCTCCAACCACGTCAGCAACTTCACGGTCAATTACAACGTCACGGTGGAGATGATGAATAAGATGAAGAACCTGACGGTGGTGGGTGTCCTGCCAGTCCTGCCCCAGAACAGCACCGTGGAGCTCACGGCGAGGGTGCACGTTGATTCGGCTGTGGAGGCTCTGTTCCTGTGAGTCCTTTGCTACTTCCCCAAACTTAGGACCTTTCTGTGCATATCTTACCTTGCCTGCACTGTTTCTCTTCCCAGGGCCAGCTGGTCCATCTCTCAGATGCTGCCTAGTTAATTTGAAATCCCTGTGGGTCAGTCAGATTGGCTGGGACCTGTAGTTCAGTTCACTCTTTTAAAGTATTGCAACACTGCTCTAATATTGGGTTCCTCCTCCTCTTACCAGTGCTGTGCTCCTCTCAGCATTGGGCACAGCTACTGCTTTGATACTTGTCATGCTGTTTCCTATGTTTCTTTTGGAAAACCCAGCCCCGACCTGAAAGACAGGCCAGGATTCCTCTGGGATTTCCATGATTTTCCTATTGTGCAGTGTAACACTGTTTACCTGTTTCTCCAGGTGGGATTTTGGAGATGGTGTCCAGGAGGCATACCTGTTCAAACCTCCCTACAACAAGTCTTTCCTTGTTCCTGATCCCAGTGTCCATGAGGTTGTCATTGAGCACAATGTTTCACACATCTACCAAGACCCAGGTATGGTCAGGAAGGTTCTTTGGGGAAGAAGGGGCTCAGGTGTTTTTGTTATGAGGGGACTACAAGACACCATCCAATAAAACCGAGGCATGGAAGTCATTACCTTGTTCCTGAATGAATGGCCAGTGACTGGAAGTCTCCAGTTGCCATCCTCTATAACTGTGTTTCTTGGAGAGGTTTGGCCATGCTGTAAGAAGCAGGTCTACCACACACAGTCCATTTTTGGGCAGTCTCAGTGGATAGATAGATGAGGGGCAGGGCAGGGTCTGTGCTGGTGGGAGGGATGGGCAACAAGGAGGGTCTGTTCTGTGGGCAAATAGAAAGAAAATCTTTTCTCTGTACCTGCTGGACTGGCTCCTTACTTGGTGTTTGGTCCTCATACACATGTCCTGGTGTAGTTCCTGCTGGTCCTGGGCTGGAGCGGGGAAAGCCTTGGGTGTGCACAGCACAGGGGCAGACAGACATGTCCTCACCCTGGTCTTGCTCTGCTCTCTTCCAATGCAGGAGAATATGCCCTGATGGTTGTCGTGTCCAACCAGTTCGAGAACCTCACACACTTGACCCCAGTTCACGTCCACAGTTACCTGGTTGACGTGAAGGTGGAAGCAGAGGAGGAGGTTTTGGTCGTGAGCCGCCCGGTGACCTTCCGAGCCCATCCCCTGCCATCCCCCTATGGCGTCGTGTACACCTGGGACTTCGGGGACAGGTCCCCCCTGCTCACAGAGATCCAGCCTACAGTGACCCACAGCTACGCCCAGAGAGGGGTGTACAACGTCACCGTGACAGCCAACAACACCGTGAGCAGTGTGGAGACAGTGGAGTGCTACCAGGTGTTTGAGGAGATCACCGGGCTCCGCGTTTCCGCGGGCGAGGCAGCAGAGCTGGGAGCGTCTGTCACCATCAACGCCTCCGTGCAGACTGGGGACAGCATCACCTGGGTGTTCGACCTGGGGGATGGGACGGTGCTGAGGAGTCAGGAGCCAGTGGTAGAACACGTGTACATAAAGGACATCAACTGCACTGTGAATGTGACTGCTGTGAATCCCGTGAACTCCATCTCCCAGACTGTTCCTGTTCGGATATTTGTCCTGGAAGTGCTCAAAATAGAGCCAGCTTCTTGCATCCTGGAGCACCCGGACGTGCAGCTCACCGCGTACGTGACGGGGAATCCTGAGGAGTACATCTTTGACTGGACTTTTGGAGATGGCTCCTCTAATGTCACAGTCAGGGGGGACCCTGGGGTGAGGCACAACTTCACCCGAAGCGGGACGTTCCTGCTCTCCCTGACTCTCTCCAGCAGGTTTAACAAGGCTCACTATTTCACCAGCGTCTGTGTGGAGCCAGAGATAGTCAATGTCACCCTTCTCCCTTCCAAGCACTTTGTGAGGCTTGGGGAAGAGAGCACCTTCCAGGTCAGTGCCGTGCCTCCCTACCAGTACCGCTACCGCTGGGATTTCGGGAACAACGAGTCCGCCAGATCGAGTGGGACCGAGGTGACCTACACCTACAAGAACACAGGGGTCTTCCTGGTCACAGTGACTGTCTCCAACAACGTCTCTTTCAACAACGACACAGCATTTGTGGAAGTCCAGGAACCAGTTGGGGTAGCGAAGATTGAATATAATGGGACAGATGTTTTGGAGCTGAACCAGGTCTACCTGTTCTCTGCCAGCATGAATGGAACCAAAGTGAGTTACTGCTGGGACTTTGGAGATGGCACTACCCAGCCTGGGCAAGTCGCCACCCACTCCTACAACAGCACGGGCCGTTACAGCGTTACCGTGATGGGCCAGAACGACGTGAGCTCTAACGAGACCACCATCGACGTCACCGTGAAACGTCGGCTCTTCGGCCTCACCATCAATGCCAGCAGGACAGTGGTGCCACTGAATGGGTCGGTGAGTTTTGTAGCCACCCTCGTGGCTGGCACTGCCATCCGCTACTCGTGGATCCTCTGCGATCGGTGCACTCCTATCCAAGGCTCCTCCACAATTTCCTACACCTTCCGGTCCGTGGGCACGTTCAATGTCATTGTGACAGCAGAGAACAAGATCAGCTCGTTGCAGGACAGCATCTACGTCTACGTCCTGGAGCAGATTGAGGGCCTGCAGGTGGCCAGCGGTGACCTGGTGGAGGACATGTATTTCCCAACAAACAAAACACTCCATTTGCAGGCCGTGGTGAGAGAGGGAACAAACATCTCCTACAGCTGGGTAGTCCAGCGGGATGGCAATGCTGTGCAGACCTCCACTGGGAAAACCTTCTCCTTCAGCGTCCCCGAAGCTGGGAACTACACTGTCTATCTGAAGGCCACCAATATGCTGGGATGTGCCACTGTTAACAGGACACTGGAGTTTGTTGAAAGCCTTGGTCTCCTAAAGCCCTACGCCTTCCCCAACCCAGCTGCTATTAATGCCTCTGTTAACATAAGTGCCACCATAACCAGTGGCACTGGCATCACGTATGTGTGGTACCTCGAGGATGGCTCCTCTCCTGTTACTTCTGAACCCTTCATTATACACTCCTTCCAAAGCCCTGGGGTGATCGAGGTCATCGTCGGAGCAGAAAACAAGCTGAATTCAACCAATTCAACAATTTCTGTCTGTGTAGAGGAGGTTATAGAGGGACTGAGTATAGGGACAGCAGAGCTGGACTGTAGGTACGTCTCATCAGGCTCCACGGTGGTCTTTGAGGGGGAACTGCAGAAAGGGACTGAAGTGACCTGGCTCTGGGAGGTGCCCAATGGCACCTTGACTGGCCAGTCTGTGGCAGTCACATTCCCTACGGCAGGGCTTTATACAGTCCATCTGAACGCATCCAACGACATCAGCTGGGCTCTGGCCAGCAGGAATATCTCAGTGCTGGACAGGATCCAAGGTCTGGAAGTTCTCGCCAGCAAGAAGGTGGTGGAGCCAGGGGAGCAGGTCACGTTTGTGATCAGGATGTTGTCAGGTACCTCTGTGAGTTACCTGGTGAGCATAAGCGGGGACTACTCTGTGGTGCTCAACGGGTCCAGGTACACCCATGAGTTCACCAAGAGCGGTGATTACCTGGTGACTGTGACCGTGCAGAACCAGATCAGCATCGCACACGCCCAGGTGCTCATCTCTGTCCTGGAGGCCATCCGGGATGTCAGGCTCCTGAACTGCTGTGAGGAGGGCATCCCCACAGGCACAGAGAAGAGCCTCAGTGCCCGCGTGGGGAGCGGCTCCCGTGTGTCCTTCTCCTGGCGGTTCTCCCTGTGGAAAGAGCAAGGTCGGTCTGTGGTCACTGTGTCAGGAGAGAGCGTTTCCTACACTCCAGAAGCTGCAGGGCTGCTTGAGATTCACCTCAGTGCCTTCAATGACTTGGGAAGTGTCAATATCACCAGAACCATCCAGGTCCAAGACCCGATAGTCCAGGTCTCCCTCTCTGCCTCCAATGCCTTTGTCAACAGGACGGCACTGTTCGAAGCCATGGTGGTGCCCAGCAGCAGGAGCGTTGAGTTCTTGTGGAGCTTTGGGGATGGTTCTTCCACTCAAACAACCAGGGCTGCAGTGGCCAACTATTCCTACCTGAGTCCTGGGGATTACCTGGTGGAGGTGAATGCCACCAATCTCATCAGCTTCTTCATAGCCCAGCTCACTGTCACGGTCAAAGTCCTGGAGTGCGAGGAGCCGGAGGTGGAGTTGGCCTTGCCCCCCCAGGTAGTCATGAAGCGATCCCAGAGGAACTATCTGGAGGCACAGATTGACCTCCGAGGGTGCATCAAGTACCAGACAGAGCACCTGTGGGAGATCTACCGAGCACCCAGCTGCATGGACCTGGATGACTCCAGCAGGATCCGGCTGCCGAACGTTGACGTGAACAGGCCCCAGCTGGTTATCCCAAAGCTCGCCCTGCACGTTGGGAACTATTGCTTCATGTTTATTGTCTCCTTTGGAGATACCCCACTGTCCAAAAGCATCTTTGCCAATGTGACTGTGATCCCAAGTAAGCTGGTCCCAATCATCGATGGGGGGTCATACCGTGTATGGTCCAACACTCAGGACTTAATCTTGGACGGGGAGAAGTCCTACGACCCGAACTTGGATGACGGCGAACAGACCCCACTGTTGTACGAGTGGTCCTGTACGTACTACTCCAAGGTAAGAGCAGTCTTGCACAGCCAGGGTGACCGCTGGGGAGCTCCAGCTGCACGTCAGCTCCACTACAAACATGTCTGGCCTGAAATAGCTGCTGACTGCAGTTCTGGGGGCTGAGGGCTCTGGTCCCTGTCCCATTAACAGTTAAATGTCTCTAATGCCATCAGGGGACAGAGTTAGACTTCAGAGAGGTCAAGTGACCACAAGTTGTGGTCTCAAGCAGGTCACTGTCCTCACATGCTGAAGTGGTCTGACCCTGCATTGATGGAGGGGGCAAGAGAGAACTGCCCTGCAGATCCTGATGGGAGATCCACCTCAGGAGCACTTTTTGATTGAATGTGGGATTCTTTTGCTTGTAAAATGTCGTGTTTTCTATATATTTACCTCAAAATAGCAAGATGTGAAGTGTCTGTGGATTAGACCTTTTGAGTTAATGTGAGCTTTTTGTGATTCTTGGCAACGTTTATAAGCTATTTAATGAAGAATTAATTGCTATAAAATAAGAATCTGAAGCTCAGATGAAACACAGGAGTATTCCAAGTACTGTTTACTAACCTGAAGAGTAGGATGATGTGTTTTGTTGTCCACACACGCCGTGTTTCTCCCACCCCAGTGGTGGCACTGCACAGCGAGGTCTGTGGCAGTGACTCTGTGTGGACCTGAATGTTTTGGCTGTGGACTAACCCGACTTGCACCCGTACCAAGGAGGGTTTGAAAGTTCTTTTCTCCTTGCAAGCAGAGCTCGGCTGCAGGGTGCTCTCTGAATTTCAGTGCCAGTGAAGGAATTGTCACAATTCCCAAAGCTGAATTAGAAGCAGATGTGGCGTACACGTTCGACCTCACCGTCAGGAAGGGGGACATGAGTCCTGAGGCCACCAACCAAACCGTACGTACCACAGACAGCTGTCACTGCTCTCCTTGGGTGCCTGTTGCTGGACACAGCCAAACTGGGAGTCACAGAATTATAGAATGGTTGGGTTGGAAGGACCTTCCACCCCCTGCCATGGGCAGGGACACCTCCCACTACCCCAGGTTGCTACAAGCCCTGTCCAGCCTGGCCTTGGACACTTGCAGGGATGGGGCAGCCACAGCTTCTCTGGGCAACCTGTGTCAGGGCCTCACCACCCTCTCAGGGAAGAATTAGTCCCCAGATTTTAGGGCATCACTGGGGCTCTGTAACTGATCTCATCCAGGTCATTGGCAGGAGCAGACATTGGTATTTCTGTGAGAGAGCCATCTTACAGTCATCTTCCTTGGGCAGCACTTTTTGCTTCTCCTACCAAGTTCTTTTAGTTTCTGTATAGAATCATGTGGGTTGGAAAAGACCTTTAAGATCATTGAGTCCCACCATGGGCCAGCGAAGGAGCCCGGCCATGGTCGGTGGCTCTCCCAGCACTTTATGCAGTCTTGGCTCTTCACATCCCACAGCAGCAGGGTCTTCCCTGGTTTTTACCCAGAGAGAGCTTCCTTAGACCTGGTGTTTAATTCTACTGTCAACAGTTCCTCTCTTCTCTCCTTCCAAATTTTTTGAAGGGAGGATTTTCTTAAGTGCATGTTGTTTATGACACGTTAAGCCCAAGGCCAAGCGCACCCGCAGCCCGACGGTTCATGTCAGGAACGTTCATCTGGTGCACTTGGCAATTAGAGGTGTAGTTACTCTGAAAGTGGAAACCCTTACTGCCGGGGTTTGAAACCAGAGCTGGAGGATGAAAAGAAAAAAATGAAATTGATAGTCTTTCAAGGACATTCCGTACTATCTGGTTTCCATGCGCGAGCGCAAAACAATGATCCCAGTGTCGCAGGAAATTTGCAAATACTGGAGGAATGAATGGAGCTTCAATGCTCTCAGGCTTAATGCTGGGGAATATTTATCCTCTTTTAAGAGTCTGCCATGTTAAACAATGTCTTCATTACTGTCTTTGAATTCCTAATGCTCGTTATGCCAGGACAGAGGGCTGTGTCCAAGACTGGACAGGCCTGTTTCCTTGGGGATTAAAGGAATTTAGACAAAGTACAGGGGTCAGAGCTCAAAAGCTGTTGTGTCTGAGCCACCGGTGCCTCTGCTCTCTCTGGGTGCTCTGCCAGGAAGGTGTGGTAGATATCTTGAGAAGTGCAGTTAGATTCCAGCTAAAACCCTGGAACAACATGCTGCTCTCTGGAAAAGGTGGTTCTTCCATCCCTAACCTACAGCCAAAGCAGGGTTTGCTGGGAATTCAGCACAGGGGGCCAGAGGAACATTTTGAAAGCAATTTATGTTGTTAAAGTATAGATAAAGTAAATCCAGAATGACCTAGATTGGCCCAGTTTGGCATTGAGTGGCTCTTGAAAACCAGTGACAGAACTGGGCAGTGTGAGAGCAGTGATGTAGCTTAAATCTGACTGGAAATCCTTTGGGCATCCCTTCCTCCTGTTTCCTTAGCATAGGCTGGGCTGGTGCACAGCGATTCCCCCTTTCAGAACCAGGTGCTGGGATGTGTCCTTACATTTTAGTTGTCTGTATTTTGGTGTCAGATCTTCTAATGAAGCCTCTTGCTTTCCCAGGTGTTCATCAAAAGGGGAGGAGTCCCTATCGTGTCCCTGGAGTGTGTTTCCTGCAAGGCTCAGTCTGTCTACGAAGTCAGCAAGAGCTCCTACGTCTACCTGGAGGGGACCTGCCAGAACTGTCACAACGACTCCAAGCTTGGGGTAAAGTCATTGGTCTTTGCTTCACCTTTGGTAAAGTGTTTTTTCTCCATGCTGGTTGGCATTTTGCCTGTTATTCTGGTGGCTCAAGCAGAGGTGGTTTAGTCTCTCCTGATCCCCCGAGTACCTCCTGCCCTCCTCTGATTCCTGATTCCACTCCACAGCATCCCTGCAGCCTGTGGAGTGAAGCAGGTCTCAGAACGGGCAGTCCTGTTGCTCCCAGCAAGCCCAACATGTCCTTGCCTGGCATTTTCTGCCTGGTTATCTCACTGTTTCTCTTGTTATCACAATTGTACTTTTGTGCTATTAACAGTAACCACCCAGGCCATGTTCAGCTTGAAGCATATAAAACATGGTATCCCGTGGAGACTCCACCAGTCCTTCATTTATTTCCTGTGTTTTGTACTCTGTATTATGAAATATTCTGTTGGAGGGTGATGTAATCCCAGAAACTAAAGTAGATCTCACAGTGGAAATATTCCCACCAGACATTTTGGAAAGGTTCCAGTTCTTGTTGCTGTAGCACACAAGACTAAAGCTGAATTATCAACTGCAAATTTGGCAGACGCTCCCACTAGAAATCTGTTACTTTTTATAAGAGACTCAATCTGAAAACATTTTAAGGACATAACTTCAGATTTAAACAAAACTTCTCCTGTCTTTCCATCCCTGCAGAGATGGGCAGCACACAGCTTTAAGAACAGGTCTCTCATCCTGGACAAAACAACGACCTCCACTGGGGACACGGGGATGAACCTGGTGCTGAGGCCGGGGGCACTGAAGGATGGCGAGGGCTACACCTTCACCCTGCACATCACAGACCTCACCACGGGGGAGGAGGGCTTCGCCTCCATCGACCTGCTCCCCAACCAGCCCCCCACGGGGGGAGAGTGCTTCCTGTCTCCCCAAGGACCCCTCAGGGCACTCATGACCAAGGTGCACTTTGAGTGTGCAGGTGAGAGCGTTGGGTGGGCACCTGCCAGTTCTCCCTGCCCCTCACAGGCAAAGCCTTCCCATGGCCAGTGTTACCAGATGCTCTTCCCACAGAGGTTTCTTTTGCCCCAAACTCCTACCCCAGGACATTGTTGGCCAGGGCTGAGCTCGGAAGCAGCTTGGCCCAGGAGCAGCTTTGTGTGCCCAAATTATGGAGCTCTAAAACTCATGGTAGCAGGCAGGCAGCTTTATAAATCTTAATTCCTGTAGTTGAATGGTGACATCCAGGCCAGGCCAGCTCTTGGGGAAGAAACTGGTACTTCGATGCAGGAAAAAGAAGATGGTGCCCAAAACTGAGTCACATTTATGTGGGAAGAATCAGAAGACAAAGCACTGGGGCCAACTCTGCCATGTGGGCTGGATGTTCCCGCCGGCAGTTACCTTCCCAACCAGCTGCAGAGACAGCAACAACAAGCCCAGCTTTGGAAAAGTGGCCTGGCTGATGTCCCGTAGCCTTGGGCCAAGGACTAAGTGCCTCTGGAAACCAGATTTCCCCAAATGATTAGTGTTAGAGATTAGAGCTGTTTGTGCACAGTGCCGGGAAGCCACGCGGAGAGGGGATGGATGCTGCTGCTTCCAGGGGGCTGGTCACCAAGGCTGGGGGAGCAGCAGAGTGTGTTCAGCGTGATGGGGTTGTAACTTCGGGGTGTTTTGAGCTGCCCAGAACAATGCTGAAATCCATTCCTCTTTGGAACGGTGGGAATTTTGGCTCTTAGACTGTTTTTAAGCTGAAGTGACAGACCAGGACACAGACCTACTGGTGGATGTCCAGCTCAGTGAGCCCTGGCAGAGCCAACACCTTCACTGGGGCTCACTGGCAAACATACAGTGCATTTTCCAGCCCCTGTGAAACTCCCCATAATTCCTGGGATCTCCAAGGAAACCTTCCTGCGGGTTTTATCCTTGACTCAGTTGTTCCTGAGATGCTGAACTGCCTGAGGGCTGAGCCTCTGTCTAATGTCAGGCTTTGCAAGGCTTGTACAGAAGCCATGGCCTTGGTCAGTGCTGTTCCCAGTCCCAGCAGAGTTGTTCCCATTTTTATTTTGATAATGGATTTTTCATAATCCTTTTAAATGTTACAAGACCCAAACACTGTCCCTCTCACCAGAGCAAGGTGACCCTTGCTGGGGACAGCAGCAAGGGCAGATCTGCAGAATCATCAGAGAAGCCTGGAATGGTTTGGGTTGGAAGGGACCTTAAGCCCATCCAGTCCCACCCCCTACCATGGGCAGGAACACCTTCCACTATCCCGGGTTGCTCCAACCCCCGTCCATGCTGAAGGGCAGCCGGGCCGAGCACGGCGCCTTCCTGCCCCCCGGCTTCCACGAGAGCGGCTTCCAGGTGTCCGTGTCCGTCCTCGTGCAGGACCAGCTGGGAGCCACCGTGGTGGCCATTAACAGGTAAGGGTCACCAACAGCATCAGTGTCCAGCCTGGGCTCCCTGTCCTGAAGGGCTCGGTGGACCCCGGGTGAAAGGTTTGGCCTCGCGCCGCCGCCGCGGCCACTTCCACGAGTTCTGCCTCTACAAGGGCAGCCGGGCCGAGCACGGCGCCTTCCTGCCCCCCGGCTTCCACGAGAGCGGCTTCCAGGTGTCCGTGTCCGTCCTCGTGCAGGACCAGCTGGGAGCCACCGTGGTGGCCATTAACAGGTAAGGGTCACCAACAGCATCAGTGTCCAGCCTGGGCTCCCTGTCCTGAAGGGCTCGGTGGACCCCGGGTGAAAGGTTTGCCTCCTGGGAGAGGCTGTTGGCAGGAAGGGGTGGGGAGGCTCAGCAGAAGTGCAGTACAGAGAATTCCAGTCTTTGTGGGTCATCGCTCAAGGGGAAGATTTTCCCAGAAGTTACTGCTTTTGTAGAATCTTGGAATCATGGAAACATTAAGGCTTGAAAAGACTTCTAAGATCATCAGGTCCCAGAGCTGGGCTGATGAGGAGCCGGGTCTCAGGTCCATGGTGGTTTTCCATGCAGCTCCTGCAAAGTGGGTGCCAGGGCATCAGCAGTGCTGTCTTTGTGGTTCACCCACCTGCTTCCCTGTTCTCTCCCTTCCCAGCCCCAGTGACAGTCTGCACTTAACCCAAATCCCTCTTTCCCTTGCAGCTCCATGGAAATTGGCTTACCTGAGGGCTTTCCCAGCCTTTCCTACTGGCTCTACAACCAAACTGACACTGTGCTCCAGGGATTGGTGAAACAAGGGGACCCTCAGCAGGTCATTGAGTACTCCCTGGCCCTCATCACCATCTTAAATGAGGTAATGCAGCTCTTTCTGCCCAAGAAGGGCCTCCAGAAGTCCTTGTAGTCTCCAGTAAAGTTCTTGGGCCAGATTTTGTACAATAATGTAGGGAAATTACTAATTCTACAGCATCACCCTCCTGGCAGAATTCCCTTTCACTCCCACCTGAAGTGGGGCCCAGTCCTTCCATGTGCATCGCTATAGGCAAGGCAGGAATTTTGGGCTATACTTGTGTTTTCCTGCCTGGTAAGAGCCTGCTGCACTCCTGGAAGCCAGGCAGGGATGATCCCCCTGAGCACAGGACTCTGCTTAGCTGGGTAGGGACTACACTGGGCACTACTTTGCTATCAAGTGCAAGGCTGTTCAGATAATTGCTTGGAAAGCACAAGCAAAATTGAGAAAGTTCTGCTGGGAAACCAGCTCATTAGATCCCTCTGGGGAGAAGCAGAGTCGGGGAGGTACAGAGAGCATGGAAGAGGAGACTTAAGCTCAGCTCATCATCCTCTGTAACAACCTAGATTTCCTGACTCTATGTGCTTTTCTCCCCACAGTATGAGAGATCCATGCTTCTGGAACCTGAGGCTGGGAATGAATTTGAGCTCCGGACCTGGACTCGCAACAACATCACGGAGACCCTGAACTCTCTGAAGGTGAACACTGTTGATGACATCCAGCAGATCTCGGCGGCCCTGGCGCAGTGCACGGTACGTTCCCGTCACCACCTCCCGCCTCTGGCCATCCAGCTGCATCTTAGGTGCTCTCCAATCCTTGTTGTGCTTCCCTGGCTCCCTCCCCGACACAGGGAGGCTCCAGAAACACTGGAATAAAATGCTGGGGGAGTTGCAGAATCTCTGAGGACAGACTGGGCTCCCATCAGGAGTAGCACAAGTAGAGCTGGACCTGCCTCGGGCCAGGGGCAAGGACCAAGGCCTGATGTTCCTCCCAGCCCTGTTTCTACCCTACAAGATGAGAAACCCTCCTTTGCTCTGCTCTGCTGCTGACTGGAAGTGCCTTGTTCCCCAGCCAGTTCCCAGTGCTGGGGCTGCTGCCTGGTGGATTGAGGAGGGAAGAGAGCCCAGTTATATAATGCACTTGGGGTTTGGTGGTCAGCCAGGCTGCTCTGGCACGGTCCTCCTCCCCGCCCTCCCAAATCCTTGCTCTGGGGACTGGAGTCAGGTACCTTGGCCTCGGCTGTGCTTCGCCTCCAGCCAGGTCAGGGCCTTGCACAGCAGGAACAGGCATCAGAATGATGGACAGACTACTGCATGCCACCCACAGAGTGCCTGTCCTGGGCTCTCTTCTCTGCTTCAGAGCCTGCAGACCTCAGAAATCCCATGTTTCTGTTCATCTTTGTCCAGGGTTGGGGCTCAGCACATCCCTTTCCGTGCTGGATCGGTTTGTTTCTGTCTCTCCCACCTCCTCCTGCCTCGTGACTCGGTCTCGCTGTGGAAGCTTAGGTCTAGAAATAGAATTTTTATTCCATGAGAAAAGCTGACATTCCAGGATTAGTTTGTGCTCTGGATTGGAATGAAAAGCTTAGGAAAACAGTAATCTAGAATTTCCCAAGGGGTTGAGACAAGTGGAGTTCACACATTCCTTTCCTGTAGAAAGGTCCATCAGGGCTGTTACAGTTCTGATTTTACCTACAGGGGAGGGGAAGAATCAGAATTAGTTTATCCTGGAGGGAAAAAAAAGAATCTCAGTCTTTTCTCCTCCCTAAGTAGGAGCTGCCCTTGGGTGGTTCCTCCCCATAACCCAGTTTCTTCCCCACCTCCCTGATTCCTGACTCGTGGACTCCGATTCACACACTATGTCCTGGCTTCTCAAGAGCTTACAAATAAAAGCAGAAAAGGGGGAATTCGAGACCTGCAGATGCTGTTTTGATTCTTCACCAAAACATGTGGTGAATCACGTCTGAATCCTGTGATGATTAAAAGAAAAAAAGATGAATAAGAGCGAGGAACGGGGTTGTGGTAACAGCTTCCATGTGTTGCCTCAGTCCCTCCCATCCAGCCTCGAGAGTGCGGGAAGCTCCAGGCCATGGCTAGAACATTCTGTTTCTTGGACACATCTGGGAGCAGAGGGAGGGACATCCATCATGCCTGAGTGGCAGGGTCCCTCCCACAGCTTTCAGGAGTATTTAGACACTGAAACGGATTCAGTTAGGGCTAAATCCTGCTTCCACTGATGGGAGTGGAGTGGATGGAGGAATCCTATCCAGCTTTTTCTGGTTGGGTTCTGTGGGAATAGCGTGTAGCCCCAGAGGGAAGATGTGCATGGTCCTTACAAGTGAACTCCAGGGAACAGAAATGTAGAATCATAGAATTCTGGAATGGTTTGGGTTGGAAGGGACCTTAAAGCTCATCCAGTCCCACCCCCTGCCACAGGCAGGGACACCTTCCACTATGCCAGGTTATTCCAAGCCCTGTCCATCCTGGCCTTGAACTCTTCCAGGGATGGGGCAGCCACAGCTGCTCTGGGCAATAATATGCTCCCTTTATTCCTCTTTCCAACCCAAAAGCATCTCCTGTCAGTCTCTGCCATGCCTGCCTGTGTGCTGGCACATTGGAATGTCTTGGGAGGTGGATGGAAGAGTTTTGGGACACCAGTAACTTGCTGGCCCCTCTCAGTGTGGGCAGGGCAGCCATGGTGTCTGCTGTCCCCTCCCCAGGAAGAGCAGGGGTGACTTTCAGAATAGAAAGGTCTTTGCAGGACTGAGCCAGCTGGACTTGCCCACACCTGCCTCCTCTTTTTCTGGGGATGTTCCTGCTCCATCAAACCCTGTTTCCCTTTGCAGGTGGCGAGCAAGGAGCTGGTGTGCAAGTCATGCCTGACAAGGACCTTGAACAAGCTGGAGACCATGATGACCATTCTGCAGGGGGAAACAACCCAGGGCACTGTGACTCCAACTGGCATTGCTGACAACATCCTCAACATCACAGGTGAGCTCTGTCCTGCAGTGTGGGGACAGGTGACCAGGGCACAGGGCTCCTGCTGAGGGGAGCTTTGGAGGCCTCCTCCTCTGCCATTTGGGGTTTGGCCTTCTCAAGCTGTTAGGAAATTGCATCTGACACGTGATTTGGAGTGTGGCATCCCAGTAGTCTCTTCCCCCTCATGTTTCCCAGGGTTGTCCTGGCTTTGGCAGCTTCTCTGTGGACATTTAAATATGACAGTTGTTAATAAACTCCCTTAATACTCCTAATAAACTCACTAATTCTCCAGGGATTTCTCTTTTCAGTAAACAGTGAGTAACAGCTATGGCTTCCAGATGCTTATCTTCTGGTTGGAGTCTGAGGAGGCTTTCAGACCTCACTGGGGCATCTGTGAACACTGTGTGGAAATTCCCACCTGGTTGATCTGGGAGGAAGCAGAGACACATTCTCTGCAGTCTTTTCTGAGTGTTCTCCACTTTATAGTGCAAAGAGTTAGTAACATATGTTTGTTTTATCCTTTCCTCCCTGTTTCCTGGTCCGTGGTTCTAGTCACTACACAGGAGGAAAATAAAACCAGTTGTGATTAAGTATTTCTCACCAAACTTTGTAGATTAGAGAGGCTTCAGGAATTTCTGGCAGCTGTTTTTAGCTCTGGGCTACAAACACTTCCACTGGGGAAGGTCATGTGCAGAGTAACAGTGAGAAGACAGTAAGGGAAGCCTTGTCTGATTGTTTTGGGAAGGTGTCAGGTGTTATCTGGACTCTAGAGTTATCCAGGCAATTTACCACTTCCTCTGTTTGCACCTTTATTTCTCTCCTGGCAGGTGACCTAATCCACCTTGTCAATACGGTTTCACAAGAATCCAAGCCCCAGGAGCTGCTTGCTGATTCCCACAACTTGCTGCTGGCTCCCAAAGCCTACAACCTGTCCTCCAGCCTGATGCGCATCCTCATGAAGTCCCGAGTGCTGAACGAAGAGCCCCTTGAGCTGGTGGGAGGAGAAATTAAGGCCACAGGCAAGAGGTCTGACCCCTTTAACTTGCTTTGCTACGAAAACACACCAAACTGCCAGTTCTCCATCCCCCAGGCCTTCAACTCCACCCTTTCCAACCTGACGGATGTCATTCAAGTCATGTTCCAAGTGGACTCCAATCCTTTCCCTTTTGGTTACATCAGCAACTACACTGTGTCCACCAAGGTGGCCTCCATGGAGTTCCAGACACACAACGGGGTGCAGATCCCCATCGGGAGCCTGGACTCAGAGAAAGCCATCACTGTGATGGTGTCAAACAACACGGATCCCAACAACCTCGCTGCTGGCACGGAAGTCATCGAGCCAAGGACGTCTGTGAACCTGATTGTGAACATGGAGAGCAACAACAGAGAAGCAGGACTGCATTTCCAGCTCACCTACAGAGTCCTCAATGGTAGCACAGACAAATCCATTTCTTCGTGCTCTTTGTTCTTCCCGTGGGAGAGGAGGGCTGGGTGCTGCAGCAAAGGAGAGCTGTGTCAAGGGATAACCGGGGTGAGAGAGGATAGCGGGGTAGCCAGCAGGTTCCACACTGCATGGTTGAGGTTCTGGCTGTCTCAGGCATTATCCAGTGCCCAGAGTCATCCTTGTTTGTGGATTCTGGCACTGAGAAGCCTTTTGCTTTTCTCAGCCCTTCTGTTGAGCCACATTAGCACTGGAGGGAGTTGGTCCAGTCCCAATCCTGGGCAGGTACGATGGTATCCAGCGCTCAGGGTTCCTCTGAGCTGCAGACTGAGAGGGTGCAGTCTGGAAAAGCATCTCTCCTGACTTTCTGCATTCCTGATTCTCCTCCCTGAGCACCAACTGCTGGCAGCAGGCTTGTGGTCGAGTCTCCCAGGTGTTTCTGAAGCCCTCTGTGTCTGTCCCCCCTCCCCACACAGATCACTACCTTGCCAGCGAGCCTGAGCCGTTCATCATGGCCTATCTCCATCACGAGCCCCAGCCCAACGAGCACAACTGCACTGCCTCCAAGAAAATCAGCCTGGATACCCTGGCTGGGAGTGACCACAAACTCTACACCTTCTTCACCTCACCCAGGTAAGAGAAATCTCCCTGGTGGTTCCTGTCACCCAGGGATACCTGATACCTGCTGGAGTCTGACTGCAGCTTGTCCAGGCTTCCATCTGGGCACTGTGATCCCAGAGCTGCCCAGCTTTAGCAGGACTCTTCCCAAGGGACTCAAAATGACCTTGGTGGGTTCAGGGTTTGCTTTATGCAGCTCATGAAACCCTTTCCCAGAGCAAAGCACCCCATGTTAATCTTGTTCTTGTTCTGCGGTGAAACCTTCAGAGAGCACCTCTGTCCTCACAGCTCCCCTTTCCAGTGGGTGACAGGAGAACACATCCCTTGTGGGCTCCCAAAAGCTCTTTTCTTCTTATCAGAGCAGTCATTCCTGCAACTCCAGTTGCTGCCTTGCCCTGGAGCACGTGTTCATGCCTTGGATTATTTAGGAGCCAGTCCTAGGCATTATCTGAGGAGAAAAGATGGGCAGCTTGAGAATAGGTGGGGCAAGAGTGGAGCCACTGTTGTGCAAGGTGACACAGCTTTTGGGAACAGGATGCTCAAAGAGGAATAAATCATCCTAATCAAATCTCCTCTCAGCCAAGATTTGTGGAAGTGTCGTGGGAGTGAGTGGGACACAGGGAAGGGCGAGCAGGAGAGCTGGGCAGGGAGAATGTGCAGTAGTGCTCCAGGTGCTGAAATAATACAAAATGAAGGATTCAGGTGGTCTGAATATCTGCACTGCCAAAGAGTGTAAATCATACCATGTTCACTGAGCTTCTCCTCTTCACTGTGTGCTCCCCTGCCCCTGCAGCTGGATGCTTTCCATGGGCACACATCCTTCGAACAGGCTTTGTGGCCCTTCAGAAGGTGGGTTAGTCATCTCTTTGCTCTTTCCCTTCTCCAGAACGGATGATCCCATCCAGAGATACTACCTGAACATCACCAACCACTTCAGCTGGTCTCCAGTGGAGGTGACGCTGGGGCTCTACACGTCCCTGTGCCAGTACTTCAGCGAGCGGGAGAAGCGCTGGAAAACAGAAGGAATTGTCCCCCTGGAGGAGACCAGGCCAGACCAGGCCGTGTGCTTAACCCAGCACCTCACTGCCTTTGGGGCCAGCTTGTTCGTGCCCCCAAACTCTGTCCAGTTCATCTTCCCTGTGAGTACCCCCACGCAGAGGCTGAGCAGTGCTGTCACACGCTGAGCAGGTTGTTGTCACCTCGCAAAGCCTCGGGCTCCTGTCGCCTTCCTGTTCGAGCTGGGTCAGGCTGCCCTGTGCCCACCTGGCACCAGCACAGGCACCTGGGAGCCTTTTGGAGGTGCAGATGGGCACATCTCACAGAGGGCTGTGAGGAAATCCTGGCTGCTGCTGAAAACAGACCTTTGGCAGATGGTTTTAGTCCCCGATCTGGACACCTCTCAGTGTGTTCACCTCTTAGGGAGATGCCAAATTCTCCCTCCAGCTGTCACCCACCACGGTTTTATCCCAGGGAATTGCACCTGCCAGCTGCTCCCTGCTTCCCAAGGGTATCCAAGCCCTTCCTTGCTCTGTCCCTGTGACGTGAGTGGGAGCAGAGAGCTCCTGGCAGCTGCTGCTGTGGTCCGTGGGATCACGTCTGAGCGGTGATGAGAGCCAGGAAGGAGGCAGGGAATGGGAAGAGAGGTCCTCCCGGGGAGGGAGAGTTGCCTTTCAACATTTTTCTTTCCTCCCAGGCCCCGGGCCCGGGCCTGAACTACATCGTCCTGCTGACGTGTGCCGTGTGCTTTGTGACCTACTCGGTGGCTGCGCTGATCGTGCACAAGCTGGACATGATCGACCTGCACCGGGTGGGAGTGATTCCCTTCTGCGGGAAGAACGGGATGTACAAATACGAGATCCTGGTGAAGACGGGCTGGGGCAGAGGATCAGGTGAGCCCACAGGCTGCTCCCGTGCGTGGTGCCTCAGGTGACATCTGCGTAGTTCGCCTGGTCTGACCTCAGCACGTCACCCACTGAATGTCCCCTGCAGGGCCCAGAGCTGAGCTGGTGTTTGAAGCAGCTCTGAGCAGCCAGTCCAGGGCTTCCCACAGTGTTCCCAGTTCTTATTGGGTGATGATGGGACAGGTCAAAAACCATAGAGTCACAGACTGCTTTGGGTTGGAAGGTTCCTTAGAGACCATCTCATTCCAACCCCGCTGGTGGGGGTCCCTGGCAGGATGGCGGGGCTGGAACGGCCACACCTTGGGTGGGCTTCCCTCAGTGAGCCCCTTCCCTGCAGGTACCACGGCCCACGTGGGGATCGCCCTGTACGGGGTGGACAACAAGAGTGGTCACAGACACCTGGATGGGGACAACGCCTTCCACCGCAACAGCCTGGACGTGTTCCAGATCGCCACGGAGCGCAGCCTCGGCAGCATCTGGCGCATCCGCATCTGGCACGACAACAAAGGTGGGACACCAGCAGCTGTGTGGGCTGGGGCACGTGGATGGCTCGGGCCAGGAGAGAGGGCCAGGAGAGAGGGATGAGAGCCTACAGTGGCTCCTGGTGACCTTCTGGCTTGGGGGGGACATTGCTGGGGGGGGACATGGAGTCTCCACCATGGGGAATTCCACAGGCTGGCCACGTGTCATCCCAGACACATGATGCTGTGTGCTGTGACAGTGTCTGTAAATGTCACCTCAGGGGTGAGCTGGCTGTGCCAAGCTTTTCTGGGTACTGTGCCTTTTCCCATTGGTGATGATAATGGTGTCACAGGGAACTGCTGCTGTCCCACTGACAGGTCCTTGTGTGGCCCTCTCAGCTTTGCAGGCTCACACAGGGAATATCTGCCATGAAATATTTCTCCATCTCTTCCCTTTTAGGACTCAGCCCCTCCTGGTACCTGCAGCACGTCATCGTGCGGGACCTGCAGAGCAGCAAGAGCTACTTCTTCCTGGTGAACGACTGGCTGTCGGTGGAGAGCGAGGACAACGATGGCATGGTGGAGAAGGAGGTGTTTGCTGCCAGTGAGTGCTCACCCTGGGTGTGGGTTTGGGGCGCTGAGCAGTTCTCATGGCACAGGAGAGCAGAGAGACCCTGGTACCTCCACAGTGGCTCTTCCTCATGGCAGTGATGCCAAGTGCTCTGCTGGGTCTTTTGTGCTGGAGGACAGGGCACGGCAAGGACCCGTGCAGGAGAGAATCACAGAACCACGTTAAGGTTGTCCGTGGGGAGGGGTGTGGTGTGCCCAGCCAGGTCCCCTCTGCAGCACAGCCACCCTGAGTGTCCCTCTTTCGTCCCCAGGTGAGACGGAGCTGAGGAGCTTCTCGCGGATCTTCGTGGCGGAGCTGCAGCGAGGCTTCTTCGAGAAGCACGTGTGGCTGTCGCTGTGGGACCGCCCGCCCCGCAGCCGCTTCACCCGCGTCCAGAGGGCCACCTGCTGCTCCCTCCTCATCTTCCTCTTCCTCTGCGCCAACGCCGTGTGGTACGGCGTGGTGGGCAACGTCCACCTCAGGTGCGCTGGGCCCTCGGTGCCCTGGCCAGCCCCCACCCTCCTCAGGGCCCCTCCTGCCCGTCCCACTGGGGCAGGACAGACCTTAAACCCACGGGGAACAGCTGCCTTGGTTGTGGCGTTGAGCCTGTCCTCATTCTAAAGAACTGGGAGCGGGGCATGGATGATGGATGGCCAAGGACAGTCAGATTTTGGGTTTGCTGTGCCATCTGTTAGCACTGCCCAGGCCTGTTTCTTTCTCTGCCCATCTGAAATACCTGATTGTCCAGTTCTGTGTCCTGCTTTCTTACCTGGCAACCCCAAATGCTCCTGCTGACACCTGTCTCTGGTCTGTCTTGATTCTCTGCAGCAACGTGGCCGTTTCTAACCTGATCCCTGTGAGTGTGGACACAGTGGCTGTTGGTCTGGTGTCCAGTGTGGTGGTTTATCCCCTCTACCTGGTCATTTTATTTCTCTTCCGGATGGCTCGTGGCAAGGTAAGGAGGAGGAATGGTTGCAGGCTGCTCTGATGGGTGGGATGACACCAGCTTTGCTTATCTGAGGCTAAATTTTGCCCTTGCTGGGACCTCACCCCTCCAGCACTCACCACTCCACACCATTCCAAGTGGTCTCTGCACTTGCCCAGTTGTGCTGCACCATGGCCAGACCCTTCCCTTAGCGAGTCTTTACCTCCCTCCCTTGACCTCATATCACTACCTGGACTCTGACAGTGCCCAGAGACCAAAAGGACAGGTTTTAGAAGCTGTTCAGGCACCTCCTCCCTTTTGATTTCAGTGTGTGACAGGCACTCAAATGCCATGCAAAGGCACAACCCTTTGCTGCACTGGCAGGAGCCCGGGAGGTGCTCAGTGGAGTCTCTCTAATGGAATGTCTGCCCTGGGTACAGCTCAGCTGGCTGAGCAGAGCTGTGGTTAAGCAGCTGGGAAGGGATTAGCTGGGGATTTAATGACTAGTTAGGCACAATTAACAGCCCCATTAAGTATTGCAGCCAGCTGCTCAGGGACTGATGAGCAGCAAATGTGTCTGATGTTCCTTGTTCCTATAGGCACACAGGAACAAACTTTCAAACTTATGGGGCTTCCTGGGAGCTTGTCCCTGGGACAGCCTGGGTGGCACTGGGCTGTGGTGTATGTGGGTACAGGTGTCCAGGGGGCCTGGGAAGCAGTGCAGGATGGGTCTGTGCCTGTTCTCAGCCCCCCTGGGCAGGTCTGGGCTCCCCAGCAGAGCAGGGAGCTGGAGGGATCCTCAGCAGCAGTGACAGTGTCACCTCCATCCCTCCTTCCTGTCCCCTGCAGGTCTCCATCAGCCACACAGTGACTCACTCAGACCAGCAGTCCTTGGAGATTGACAACTACCTGGACTCCTCAATCCTCGACAGCTCCTTCCCCACCTTCCCCGGGCTGCAGGCAGAGGTAACCTGCTTCCTTCCCCACAGCTGGACAGGCTGCACAGGTCTGTGTGCTCCCTGCAGGGACACAGTGCCCACCCCAGCTGTCAGGGGGAGAGCTGAGGCACTCAGGTGCCTCTGGAAAATCCCAGTGCTGGGGGAGAGCCCAGCCCTTCATCCCTCACCTGCCCAGATCCATTAGCTGTCTCCAGCTGTCTGTGGACATGGATCTTCCCAGGGTGCCTGTGGGTTACCTCTGGAGGGGAGCAGGCTCCTGGAGGTGTGGGCTCAGATCTAACAGCACCTCCAGCTTCCCAATGACCACTGGTGTTCACAACCTGCTGCTTTAACCAGGCACAGACCAGTGTCACGTGCCTGAAGTGCCTCTGTTTCCTCCACAGGCCTTCTCTGAGCAAACCAAAACAGATCTGTTCTTGGAGGACTCCAAAAGGTGAGGAGGTTTCTGGGGATGGAGTGAGCAGGAGTTTAGTTTCTGCTTTGCTGGGCTGGGGTTGTGCTGTTTCCCTGCAGACGTTCCTACCCAGTTCCTTTTCTCCTGCTTCCCCACATGGACCTGACGCCCCCATTCCTGTTTTCCTGCAGCCTGGTACGATGGCCCTCCAGTGAGGCCCTGCTCAGCTGGCCAGACCTCCTCAGTGACCCCTCCATCATGGGCAACACCATCCAGAAGCTGAAGAGAGGCCGGGCCAGCCGCCACCTGGGGCTCGAGGCCCCGCTGGCCACCGAGGAGGACAGTTTGTCCCTTGGCATTCACCAGGGACAGCCTCGGTACTTCTCTGCCTCAGGTTAGAGAGGCAGAGCTGCAGAGCTGCTGCCATCACCACTGGCTTCACTTTGAAGGGCAGAGGAGGAGGGTTGGGTCTGCTTAACAGGGGTTTTAGTCTGGGAAAGCAGAAATCCTGGCGGGGATCAGCCTGAAGTGAGCGGTCCCACACTGCCAGCAGGCTGGGAGCAAGGAGGGGTGTGTTTCCATGGGAATGCTGCAAGCAACCAGCTCTTTCTCACTGGTTGCAAAGCCACAGTGTGTCCCTGAGCCTCTGTAAGTGGCTGCAGAAGAGAACTTGACTCCCTGAACCAGCAGTTTCCTGCCTGGCTCTGTAGGAGCTGGGGCTGGACAGGCACTGGGGGACAGGGAGCAGGGGAGGGCTGTCCATGGAGAAGGACATCACCCTGACCCTCCTCCTCCTCCCCAGGGTGCAGAGCCATGCCCTGGAGTGGTGCTGGGCGCTGTGCTCGTGCCCAATGCTCTTTGTGCTCTGTCCCTTTCCCAGACGAGGATCTGATCCGGCAGATCCTGGCGGATGGAGCCAGCGGCATCTCCCACTCCCAGGACCTGGGGCCGTACATGAGGGCTGAAACAGATCTGATCTCAGGCCTGTAAGTGTTTGAGGGGCAGAGTCCCCACTGAGCCCAAGCCTCCTGCCCCTCGTCCTCCCTCCCAGCCCCAGCAGTGTCTCCCCAGCTGAGCTGAGCTGGATTGGGGACATTTCCATGGGTCACTGTGTTCCTGCTGGCCATGATTCCCACAGCCCCCACAGCCAGCGCTCCAGGAGGGCACAGCTATCCTTCCAGGAGCCACTTGGAATATCCTTTAAAACCCCAGCTGTGCCTCCAGCACTTCTGGCAAAGTGCTGGGATGTGGGTTCACTTCATGGCACTGAAGGAAGGGAGAAGGGGGTTGAATCTTTGTTATAACATGCTCAGAGCACCCTGCTGGGCACCCTGACCACCACCCAGCCAGGCTGGCAGCCCACCAGTGGTAGCCACTGCAGAGTGGCAGATCAAGGGGAGGGGAAAGACTTTCAGCCCTTGTCCACGAGATGCAGAGCAGTGTCTGTGTTCCCAGGACTGGTCACTGGTGCTGGCACTGGAGTTCAGCCCCTCTCAGTGCCAGCAGTGACACAGCTGTCACCCTTTGCCTCGGCAGGTCCAGCGTGTTCGGGGAGAAGGTGGAGACTGTCATGATGCAGAAGCTGAACGACAAAGGGCAGAGCATGGCAGCTCCTCCCAGGGAAGTGAGCAGATCAGCCAAGTCCACGTGGACAGGTACCAGGGCTGTGCCCATCAGGGCAGGAGGGGGGTGTGCAGGGACAGGGGCCATCCCACGCAGCAGCACTTGGGGGAGCAGAGGGGAAATAGAAAAGGAGTCTTAGGGAAGGCAGCTCCCTGCTTGGGATATATCTGCTGTTTCCTGCCAACTTCTTCTGGAGCCTGGATCTCTTCATGTGCTGCTTAGTGGGAAATGTTTGGGATAATCCCTCCAAACTCACCCAGGACTGGTGATGAGCTCAGCCCTTCCTGTGCCTGCTGGGACCCTTTGGCAGGAATGTTCACATTTGCTTTCCCTCCTCCTCCCAGTTGCAGACCAAACGTTCAGGAAGCGCTTGCTCCCACCCTGGTGCTCCTACCTGGCTCATGGCATCAGCCTCCTGCTCTTCGCCACCTCCACGGGGGTCTCCGTGTGGATCGGGGTGGGCTTTTCCTCCAGCGTGGCCCTCATGTGGCTCATCTCAGGGATATTCAGCTTTCTGGCATCCTTTCTGGTCTGGGAGCCCCTGAAGGTGAGGATACTGTGACACACCTGTACCTGTGTGTGTCTCAGCTGTAATTCATGTCTTGTCCAGCTACTGATCACAGAATCTCTGAGTGGGGGGGTTGGAAAAGCCCTTTAGGGTTGTCGAGTCCAACCATCAGCCAACCACCATGTTCACCACTAACCCATGTCCTCAAGTGCCACCCCCACACGGTTTTTGAGCATTTCCAGGGATGATGAGTCCACCACTGCCCTGGGCAGCCTGTGCCAGGGCTGGACAACCTTTCCATGAAGAAATAGAGTCAGGCTGGGCCCGATGTTAATTGAATGGTCTCTCCCAGCCCTGTATCCCTCAGGAAGGGAAGGATGTGGATGAAGGATGGGAAGACAGGGCTGGTGTCACATTGTTTTGTGTGGCCTGGCCGCGCCGGGGGGAGCTGTGCTGTGCTGGCTGTGCTCAGGGGCCCACAGGAGCTGCTGCTGGAATGTCCAGGTGGCACAGCTCTCTGCAGGCTCAGGACTCTCTCTGCCCCCCAGGTGCTGCTGGAAGCCCTGTATTTCTCCCTGGTTGCCAAGCGCCTGCACCCCGAGGAGGACGACACGCTGGTGGAGCAGCCCTGCGTGGAACACGTGTCGGAGAAGATCAGCAAAGTGCGGCCCCCGCAGGGCTTCGCCCTCTTCCAGGCCAAGGAGGAGGCCAGGAAGGTCAAACTGCTGCACAGGATGCTGAAGGTGGGACATCTCCTGCTGCCTGGTGCCCAGGGCAGAGGGCTGAGATACATCCTGGCGTGGGTCCTCCCAGTCCAGCTGGGATCCCCTCAGCTAGTGGGTGCATGTTTTCAGCTTCTGCCTCAGTTTCCCCATCTGTAAAATTCTTGCAGTGATTTTCATCTTCTCTTTGGATCTCTGAGGGGGCTGGAAAGCAGAACCATGAGGGGCTGATTTGGAGCAGCTGGTGTTTGGCTCCATAACTCGGGTGTTTGAGGTTAGGGCAAGGTTTGAGTGTGGAGCAGACACCGACTTGCACGGGAAAATCCATTAGTTGAGTCTTTTGAAATGCAACTTCCTGTCCGGGAGCAGAAATTTCAGCCTTTGTAGTTCATTCAGTACTGATCCTCCACTTGTGCTGGGAATACACAGCTGCTTTGATGGAATCAGGTTATTTTTAACTGAGTGATTCCCCTTTAAAGATGGAACTCCCCATAACTACTGGATAAGCTGAACTGACAGCATATAGGAGCCCTTTCAACAAAGAATCTTGTTATGAGCCTGTGATCTGGGTTTCATTTTAAGCTGCTCCCCATATGAAAGAACAGCCTGCTCAAGCCTGGAAGGCACTGCTCTGCTGCAGGATTGGGACCCAGCTCCTCCATGCAATCCCTTTCTACTCTCTTTTTCCCAGAATTTCCTCATCTACATGATGTTCTTGCTGGTGATCCTGCTCACCAACTACGGGGACACGTCCCGCACCAGCCGGGCCTTCCTCCTGCAGAGCTCCATCAAGCAGCAGCTGGGCAGCAACGAATTCCTCCTCATCAAGAGGTACCTGCCCAGGCCCTGGGATGGGGTTGAGGTAGTGATGTGTGTCAGGGAAGCTGGATGTGGGGCTCGTGTTCCACAGTCTCTCCCATAAAGGGTTCCCAGCTCCACTGGGAGCGCTGGTGTGGAGCTGGGACTCGCAAACGAGCCTGGCTTGGCAGTGAGCAGGTCCCCTTTGTGCCTGTGGTTCTTCTCTCTTGGAGAGCAGAGGGTTCTCTGGAGGTGGAGAGGTTTAATTTCTCTGTGGGAAGGGGCTGTGTGAGTTACTGACATTGAACTTACTGGAGCTGTTCTAAAGGAAACAAGTTTCTATATCTCTAAAATTTACAACCGTAAGGTTTAACCATGAACAGGGTCATGAGAACCAGAAATGACACCTCGCAGAGTCCTGCCCTTCCTTGCTCTGCACTTTTGGTTTAACTGGGTGAAATTTTCCCAGCTGAGTTTTCACTCCACTGGGAATTCCACAAGTCCAGCCTGACCCTGGAACACTGCCTGGGGTTGAGGGTGTCTCCTCCAGAGCCCTTGGTTCTGTGCACATCAGCATGGCTTGGCTGAACCAAAGTCACTGGAGCTTTGATTTCACCACAGTGTGGATCAGGAGTTATTCCAGTGAGTTTGGTAGAGTTTTTGGGGTGAAAGTGGTGTAAAGGGGGATAATCTGGTCCTAAATAGCATGTCTTTCCCACTGCACTGCCACATATCCCCTGCTCTGATTCTCATCCAGGTGCCAAGTGCATTCAGTTACTTTTAGGTCATGTCAAATAATCCCTTTTCTGACCTCATCCCAGCCCCTGGAATGGGTGGGAATGTGCCTGCTGGCTGGGAGGAGAGCAGCCAGGTTGGCTCTGCGGTGCTCAGTGCCTCATCCAGGTGACACCCCCAGGATGGGTGGGACACGCAGAGCTGGCCTGGCAGAGCTGCCCCAGGGCTCTGGCTCCCTCCCACACCGTGTCCCCTCGCAGGTCGGATCAGTTCTGGCTCTGGATGTCGCGGGTGTTCCTCCCGTACCTGCACAACAACGGGTCGGGCCCGGAGAGCCACAGCACCACGCTGGGCACGGCCCGGCTGCGCCAGCTCCGCCTGCAGGAGGGTACGTGGGCAGGGAGCTCTGCTCCCACAGCGGGGTGGGGACAGTCCTGGAGGGACCACATGGGCAGGTCTGGCTGCAGCTGGGGCTGAGGGAAGGCAGCAGAGGTTACACGGCGAGGTTTTGGTTTGTAGTTTGTGCTTCAGTGAGTCCCCAGTTCTGCTCTGCAGAGATGAACTGGGGTAGCTGGTCATGGAATCCTGGAATGGTTTGGGTTGGGAGAGACCTTAAACATCATTCAGTTCCACCCCCTGCCATGGGCAGGGACATCTCCCACTGTCCCAGATTGCTCCAAGCCCCATCCAAGCTGGCCTTGGACACTTCCAGGGGTGGGGCAGCCACAGCTTCTCTGGGCAACTTGTGCCAGGGCCTCCCCACCCTCCCAGGGAAGAATTTCTCCCCAGTATCCCGTCTAACCCAGGTAGTTTAAAGCCAGTGGTCTATTCCAGGTTCATAGTTACCCCAAGGCTGATTGGGATGCCTGTGTTCTCCACTCGTACCTAACAAATCCACTCTGAGCTGGCGGTGTGGATATATTACGACTCCTACATTTTCCTTATTAATATCCCTTCTTTTCTTAATCCCTACTTTCTCCATGTTCCCTTCCCCTCATCCTGGTGAAATCATGAAGACAAAGGTTGGTTTGATGTCTGGAGGGGTGGCTGAGGTGTGGAGGTGGAGGGGTTTGGGAGGAAGGGCGATGCTGGGGGTGTGAGCTCAGCTGTGCCCTGGCACTGGCTGTGCTGGACTGCCTGGGGGTGACAGTGTGGTCTCATTCCAGCTGAGTGCCATGCCCAGGACATCCTGCCCGGCATGGGCAGGGCCCAGAGGAGCTGCACTGACCAGCACAGCTTTGCCACCGCTGACTATGGCACAGGCTGGGAGAGGGCAGCGGGGAACGTGACGGCGGCGTGGGCCCACTCCCCACCTGACCTGGCAGGGTAAGGGGCTGCCCAGCCCACTCCCACCCCCTGCTCCATCCCCTGTCCTGCAGAGATGGGACAACTGGTCCTTGCAGACCTTTACAAGGTCTTTACCGTGGGTTTTGTGCCATGGGTGGTTCCCAGCCCTCCCCTCAGCGAGGCCAACTCCAGCCCCTGAGCCTGACAAAGGGCAAACGGACACAAACGCCAAAGGGCTTCCCTGGGCACACCCACACTGGCAGTGGGAGTGGTGGGGGGCACCCAACTTCCCTGGGGACGTGTGTGTCACCCCAAACTGTCTGAACAGCAGCGTTGTGCTGCTCTGGGGTACCCAGGGGCAGAGGGTTCAACTCTCCACCTTCCAGGGCAGAGACAGGGAGGGTAACCCAGCACCCACACAGCAGCACTAGATGTCTGTTCAAGGGGGTGATAGGAGGTTGTCCTGCACACTGGACATAAATCACTGTTGGTTTCTGCTCTAGTTTGACCCTGGAGGCATCTTTATGGGCCACCATAGGGCCTGGGGCTGTCCTGAGGTTGGGAACACTGAGGTGGATCAATGCACTCCTATGATTTGTCTTGTAAAATAAATGCTGAGGCAGCTCTTGAGGGGCAGGATCTGCATCTGCACACATGCTCCTGGCCTGCCATGAAGGAGAGTAGCCAGTGTCCTTCAGCCTCATGCCGTGGCTCCTCTTCCTCTGCAGGATCTGGTACTGGGGTTACCTCTCCTTCTACGACAGCAGCGGGTACGTGCAGGAGCTGGGCCCTTCACTGGAGGAGAGCCAGGCCCAGCTGGACTTCCTGCAGCAGCACACGTGGATCAACAACATGTGAGTGTGGCAGGGGCAGAGGACGTGTCCTGCTGTCAGCCAGGGTTTTCAGGGATTCTGCTGGAGCGTCACAGGGAACAGGATCAGTGATCCCACCCAGCAGTGGCCCTGGAGCTGGTGTTGTCCCAGTCCCTGAGCTGCTCCTCTCGCCCCGCAGGAGCCGGGCAGTGTTTGTGGAGCTGCTGCAGTACAACCCCAGCGTGGACCTGCACGTGGCCATCACCCTGCGCCTGGAATTCCCGGGATCCGGCCAGGCCATCGCCGCCCTCACCATCAGCCCCTTCCCACTGCTGCGGCTCAGCGGGGGGGTCACCCTGCAGCTGCTCATGATGGTCAGTGTGGTACCTCCCCCTGCACCCCTCTGCCCTTGGGGTCACTGCAGGGCTGGGGACCCTCACCCAGGCTGGTCACTGTGCACTCAAGCTCCCCTGCCTGAATCCACTTGTTCCCTTGCCTGTCACCACTCTGCTTCCAGGACTGGGTAGCACACAGGGAACAGCCCTGGCACTGCTGAGGGGGAAGAGGTTCCTCCTCCTCTCAGTCTTGTCTCAGCATTTTTACTTCCTTAAGCTCGTGTCTGTCACTGTGGAAACATGAGGGTTTGTTCTGCCCTCAGTGGGGACATCAGCCAGACAAGCCATGTCCCCAGAGACCTTGCCTGGGTTTGGTGTCTGCAGAGACCTCGTCCCCTGAGCACTGCCACCCTACTACAGGGGCACTGGAGAGCTTTAGGAGGGAGTGGGGCACTGAGTGAGCAGGGAAGGTGGGGCAGGACACTGCAGGTGCTCCAGGTGGTGGAACTGGGCCTGGTCCGGGGGGCTTTTGCTGTCCTGGGTGCAGCACAGCAGTCAAGCATTGCCCTCTCCTTCCCTGATAACCTCTTCATTCCTCCTCTCCTGGTGACCTCTCTGTTCCTCCTTCCCTGGTGACCTCCTCGTCCCTCCCCCAGGTCTTCCTCATGATGTTTGTGGTTTACTTCGTGGTGTCGGAGTCGCTGTCCATCAAGAAGGAAGGCAGAGCCTACTTCACCCAGTGGGGCAACTACGGCCAGTGGCTCTTCATCCTGCTCACCACGAGCACTGTGGTGGTTCACCTCAGCCAGGCCACCCTCGCTGACCAGCAGTGGCTCAAGTACCTCAGCAACCGTAGGGGTTTCACCAACTTCTACCAGGTGGCCTTTCTCAGCTCCGTGTTCAGCAGCCTGGCCGCGTCCCTGCTCTTCCTCCTGACTGTGCAGGTACAGAGCTTGGGGGGGAGCAGCACGTGGGCACTGGGTGCTTCGGTCCTCCCGTGCCAGCCTGCCATCTCTGTGTGGTCCCTGGCAGGGCCAGCAAAGGGCCCCAAGGGAAAACATGCAGGATTGAGGTCCTGATCAGGCACTGGTGGGATGCTGCTGCCACATCAGACCCTGCTGCGGGGCAGAGGGGGTGGCAGTGAGGCCACGTGTGTCTCTGCTGTAGCACTTTGAGTCTCTACAGCATCTGGGCCCCCAGTTCCCTTGGCAGATCCAGCCAAGTGTGGCTGATGGGATGAGTTTGTCTGCAGGGAACCTGTGGCCTGGGATGGTCTGTGCTCTGCCAGGGTTTGCATTTCTCAGATGTGAGAAGACCCTCCCCGTGCTGGAGGGGTCTGTGCTGTAACACCCCCTCTCTGCTCCCCAGGCTGCCCAGCAGCTGCGCTTCGTCAGGCAGTGGTCAGTGTTTGGGAAGACCTTCCAGAAGTCGGCCAAGGAGCTCACAGCTGCAGGGGTGGCCTTCGCCCTCCTCCTCCTGGCCTACGCCCAGCTCGGCTTCCTGGTAACTACCCCTGTCCCCGTTCCCTCACAGGTGGGCTGGTTGTGGTCCTGCTGCCCTTCATCCCTCACCATGGCACGACATCGTGGGCAGCAGCCTCCTGCTGCTGCTGGCCCTGCTCCGGGGCAGCGGGAGCCTCCAGCCCTGCCTGCCCGAGGCCTCGGGCCTCTGCTGCCTGTTCTGCACCAGCTACATCGTCCTGGAGGTGTGGATCGTGCTGAGGCTGCTCACAGTGGTGCTGATCCACAGCTACCGCGAGATGCACTTTGAGCTGTACCGACCTGCCTTCGAGCCCCAGGACTACGAGATGGTGGAGCTGTTCGTGCGCAGGCTCAAGATGTGGATGGGCTTCAGCAAAGCCAAGGAGGTGAGAGCAGCCTGGGGGCTCCATGGAGAAGGGGCCAGGTGGCAATGTCCACCATCCTTAGCCTTCCTTTGCCTCTGGCTACGTCCCACTGCTGCTCACAGCCAGGTTCCTCTGGTAGGTGAGAGCTGGAGCAGTCGCTGTTCCTGAGGGCCCCAGGGCTGGGTTAGTGATGGGGCGCTGTAGGGACATCGGCTGCCAGGTCCCAGCCCCACAGTTCCATGTGGTTTTAATGGAGATCTCCACAAGGTCCATGGTTTGTCACACAAGGAATAGCTGGGAGCAGCCCCGGGGTGTTTGGAGTGTTCCCACTGAGAGCTCTGAACTAACCCTGCCCCTGCTCCCCTGTTCCCTCCAGTTCCGGCACAAGGTGAGGTTCGAAGGGATGGAGCCGCTGCCCTCCCGCGACTCCAGTGACTCCAAGTCCTTCCGGGGCCCCACTCCCAGCGCTGCCTCCGACAGCTCCAGGGCCTCCACGTCCTCCAGCCAGCTGGACGGGCTGAGCCTCGTGCTGAGCACCCGGGACAGCCTGGAAGTGGACGCCGACATCCAGCGCCTCCTTTCCCTCTTCGAGATGCTGCTGGCCCAGTTCGACCGCGTCAACCAGGTGACGGAGGATGTGTCCCGCATCGAGCTGCT